TATAGGGCAAGTTCAATTTATTTTGGTCTGTAGGGCGGACAAAGTGTTGTCAGTAATTTGTCTAAGGGATAGTTTTTTGGAAGCTTAACGTCTGTGGGAGTGTGCATTGTTAAAGAGCCTTAAAGCTCAAACAATAATTTAAACATTTTATGCCGAAGTATTTTTTAAAAAGAATTTCTTTTTTCTAGTATATTCTGTTAAATTAAATCTCTCGTAGAGAAAAGAATGGATAAAAATTTACTCATAACTATTAAATAAAAAGTAAACGAATAACAACAATAGCCAACCGGCTAGTAAAAAGGTGTAGGAGCATTTAGGGGATCCTCCGTATATAAATTTGGTCCCAGAGGTTAACAAGCTTTTATAGTACAACTTACAAATGCTTTTTTCCAAAAGTGGATTACCGATTAATGCACCTAGTCTCAACCAATCGGCTTTGAACTAAGAGCGTGCTCTTAGAATCTAGTTCCATAATTGTAAAAAGTGTCAACTTACACCGTTCAAGTGGGTAGTTGAATGCACTGTTACTTTCAAACTTCCGCCAACCTAATAATGTCACCGCGTCCACACAGTACAATCACAATTTTTAAAAATGGTTCACCTACCACCATGCATTAAGTGAAAATGTCCACTTGCATTTAATCATTGGACAATATTTTTAATTTCATCTTTAATAAATGATATCTGATATCTAATTGACGCGAAGTTTCGGCACCCCTCCAGGTATAGGCAGTGTGAATTAAGGGTTGGTTATTAACTTTGCTTGTTAATGGGAAATTAATTTCAGCCACTAACACCGCATAAAATAGTTTTTATCCATTTAGCATTTTTATATATTCCGCTCCGCCAGGGACGTTGCAATATTTTCTTGTTTGGTAGACTCTCAGACGACGGGAGGACTATTTAATAAAATTAATGTTCCGGACATTGATCTTCTATTGGGTTCTGATCCATAGCTTGCACGGAAATATGTCTCAATTTTATGTTTATGTGCTTTCGAAGCCTTAAGGCTAAAATTTTGGCTAGATTTCAGATATTTTAATACCGATTTAGCTGCCTTCCGATGTTGCTCAATATAGGCACTCATTTGCATTGAGAGTTTTTTGACGGCTGTTTGAATATTCGATCTTGAACAGCGTGCAAGGTTTTGAAGTGAACCCACTAGTTCCTGAAGAGGGCCATTATGTGTTACGTTCTCCTGTAGATCAAGTTCACAGTCAAGTGGGTGTTTGTTTGGTTTACAAATGTTCATATCATAGTGGAGTAAAATCCTCGAATGTAATCCATTTGGTCGTTTTGAAGACCGTGGGAGTGTACTTGAAATTTTCCCGATAATAGAGTTTGTAGGAACGTCTTTCAAAGCAATACTTAGACTGTTTATGAGGTCTCGAGTCTTTTGGATAAAATCTTAAAATTTTCACAAACATTTGAAAATATGCAGGATTCCGATTTTTATTGAGAAAACTTAATCCTTTGACTTTAGATACAAAATATTTAAACCAAAGTAGCCTGCTTGTACCGTAAAGAGTATTCTGGAGTTGTAGGCGGTATTTATTGCTGTTAATATTAGGTTCTATTAAAGTAAATTCGGCGGGAAAGGATATATACATCCTCTACTCTATATCTGTATGAAAAATAAGCCTTGCTTACATCAACTGTAAAGATATTTAGTCGCTATTAAGGGCGTAGACTTCAATTAACCTTACAGTTTCTTAGATACCCCGGGAGAAGTCGATTCGCTGAAGTCGTCCCCTTTAGTCCGTGGAAATTCTCTTACGCAAGCCTTGACTTAAATCTGCCGGCATTTTTTTTAATAGTATATTGCCAAATGACTGACTCCAATTTTTCACCTATCAGAGCTTTGACGGTTTTCCATGTTTTAAGGTTTCTAAGAGCTAAAAGTACAGTTTTCCACCGTTTCACCTGCAATAGTTCTTGACGGACTGGAAGAAACAACTATTTTAGAGCACCTGGTATGATAAATTTTCCTTTGATCATCGTTTTCATCGATTTCATCTCAGTCACCAACCACTACATAGGACAATATACCGTTTTTAAATTTGACCAGGAAACCATTTAGGTTCTTACGTGGATTAGAAAATATATGAACGTCAAGTCTGCCTACACTTCTATATTTCCCTATTTTGAGTACTAACATTACCGTTATCCTGCGGGATCATAACCAATGTAGCTGGGTCATTACGATATTCTAAAAATATGTCCCCCTGCCTTCAACTCCCTTTGAACTAATTTGAGGGTCAAGGTCAATAATTCGTGTCATGGAATTATCACGGGTAAAGGGCTTTGAGGAAGTACTCGTTGTGGTCTCCTTTTTTATTTTATAATTTCGAGATTTAATTATCCTACGGGGATTTACACATAAATCCTCATACACCAACCGCAGGAGTCTAAAGCAGGTCCAAGTAAAATGTCTGCACTAGGAGTTGGAGTAATCTTACCGTCTTGTTTACAGCTCTAGTAAACATGCGAACCGAAAGTCTCAAGTTTATCGATTTTTGGCTTGGATTTATAAACATTTTGCTAGCTTCCTGAGTATATGTTGACAATAAAAAAAACGGCGTGTGGCATGGAATCTGCCCAAAAATTCGCTAAATAATCCTGCTCTGTGTATCAAGGCCTTCGTCATTTCTTTGAGTATTCCATTGTGGCGTACAGCGAGAGGATTGTGAGACGGTGTATCAGGAGCAGTGAACGATTGGGTGATTTTACGCTCGTGACACATATTTTTAAGTTGTTGCCTGTTAACTCAGCTCCGTTGTCCGAATGTATGCACCCAACATCTTACCCGTAACCCGAATGCTTTGTCTAAAAAGTCTGAAAAGGAGATGTGTAGTTTACCTCCAAAGTAAATTGGTAAAAACTAGACAAAATTTGTGCTTTTGCATACAACTGTTAATCCATATACTGCCAAGGCCCGTGAATTTCCACATCCAGATGTGCCCAGGGGATAAATTATCATAACGTTGATTTTTCACTCTTCCCACGGATTTTTTGTGAAGTTCATCTCAGCGCATATATATCAGTGTAGACTTACATTTAGGTTGTAATTTTTAAAAAATTTTTCGAACGTTATCAATTTTAATGTCCCAATATGGTGTGCCAATCAAGTATTGACTTCATAGCGTGATTCTCGTTCAAATTAATATCTCTTACTAGCGGTCATTATAGGTATCGAAGTTTCCTCTTCTCTTGGAGGGGTTAATTTTCTTATAGACTCTTGCTCCATTAGAGTCAAACACAACAACATTATTACTATCACATATTAAGCCAACACGGACTAAATATCCACGAATAAATTCTGTTTCATTTGAAAAATATGTAAAAGTCGACTATTACCATCTATGTATATAGTAGTATTTGGTTAACGTGGTCTGCAAAATGTTGAAAATCACGTTTATTTTTTTGTTTTTAACTGAAATTTATCTAAAGATTATTATTTTATTTATGTGTGGTGTACTTTTGTTTAAGTGTATTTGCATGTGCACTTTTTAAAAAAAAACCTTACCTATTATACAATTATTATACAATAAAATGGAATGTAAGGAACCTCCATGTAATTAACTACACCAAGACATCCCTAAATATTCGTTTAATAGGTGTTACTATATAAAAATATGTAGTTTTGACTAATAACTCCAAGTTTAATAATAATATGAACTACAAAATAGTTGATAAATTATCTAAACAAAAAATGATGACCTTAAAAAACATAAAAAAGAGTAAGCGAAGTGGCAACAGAAGCCAAACTAAATCATTTTTAAAAAGTAAAACATAAAGTCACAACTAAATCCTAGAAGAAGAAGCATGTTATAAATGAACACAAAACCTTTTATTTTTTTAAATACTAGTGCTACACAAAAGCAAAGCCATAAAACACATTGAATAGCATGCAGTGAGAAGGTGTAGAAAGCTAACATGGAAATATATAATTTTTTAAATTTTAGTTTTTTTCCTTAACATTGCTTAAGGTATTGATACAACAGGCAAAACATCCAACCTAATATTTTACCAGGTCCGAACTTTTATCTTAGCGTCGCCAGGGAGAGTACATCATAAGGCGCCTTTATGATGAAGGCAGAGCTGTTGCCCTCACATTCCTAACACGTGCTCCACTTAATACTAATATAAACGACCTACAACACTATTGGTTCTTTTAAATTTTGATTTGGTAAGTTATATTACTGGAAAGCAAATTGTCGAGTTTTTAACACAAAAAATTTTTTAAATGGTTTATGTAAATTTTTTGTGGTTTATATTATTATATTGTAGGCTTTATTATTATTATTTTGTTAAAACTAGGATATTATTTTATTAATAAAATATACCAAAAATAAAAAAATTGTTTTTTCCACTGATAGCTAATTGTTGATCAGAGTTTACATAACAACTTATAGGAATAGAAAGAATTAAAGAAAGGCTTGAACAGGTCTTGCCATTTGACCACAAAGGTTACATCTTAATACTTTTATGTATATTTTAAAGTTAGACGCTCATACTTAAATATATTCTAATGCATTTTTTAAAAATGTCTAGCTATCTTAATGGGAAGATCTGCAAAGTTTAAAAAGAGAATTAGTAAGAAGTATAAAAGTTCAGCTGTGAGCGAGCCAAAAACTGTGGAGACTGATGGTAATCCCAAAATAATCCAGGAAAAAAAACCGCTGCCTAAAAACACCAAAGTTAACCCTAAAACTAAAGAAAAAGCTCGTAAACGCCTGTTAAAAGTTATGAAAAAGCAAATGAAATATAATAAAAATTTCATAATTTATTTTAATTTTATTAATTTATAAACTCGCACGGCGTGTAAGACGAGCTTACTAAGCAGAGGTTAACTGCATTTTTTAGTAGTCGAAGAGTAACTTTTAAAATTTTACTTAAGAATTAATAGATAAAATTTTTCAGGTATCTTAACTGGAGTATTTGGTTTGAGTTTGGTGTAAGTAAAGAAATACTTATAAAACTTTAATAGTGGAAATACTAATTTTTTTATTATAATTTAAGAGAATCGAGCAATTCACTGTTTTTCTCTTATAAAGGCCTTTTCCTAATTTAAAAAATTTGTATTTTAAAAGTAAGAAAAAAAAATTAACAATACAAATTAAGTTAAGTATTGCGGAGAGTATATTATAAAAATTAAGATCTGACCTGGATAAGTCTCTGTAAGGCGCTTTCCAGCGTGGACTTTTCTTTGTCGCTCCCCCATAATCGGCTTATCCCAATTTGTCCTCCAGAATCCGCAAGGAGTCTGCAATCAATAAATATTTTTACCAGAAAATTAACATTTTCTAACGAGCTCAAAAACCTCTCCAGTACGGCTATCACGTGTTCAAGTTTTAATTTGGCGTACTTTCTCTGCCGATGGTTGGAATTTACAAAATTATCAAAATCTTTAAGTTTGAAAAGTTGTATCAACTAGAAAAAAAATTGAGAAGGAAAACTTTTCTAAATATTTTTTATAATAAAAACCTGTCTGACGCCCTCAAACAGAATTTTTAACTGCGGCTCCTCGCAAGAATCACAAAACCCTATGTTTTAATTTTTTTTTTTTAATAATCCTTGATTACCAATCGCACTCTATTAGAGTACCTTCGCACATGATTACGTCTTGTTCGAGTTTATAAAAAATCTACAATTAGTAAATTAAAAACTATAATGGCAATCTGTGATGCTGTCTGAAAACCAGAAAATTGATTTTCGTGGCGGGATGCTCCCTTAAAAGTTTGTCTGGTCTTACTTCCGTTATAAGTCTTTTGTAGGTATTTTTTCAATTAATTTAAGTTTATATAAATTTTTAATTAAATTCGATGCTTACGCGAGAAATTCCGCGGCCATTGTGCGGGCAGCCTCGTTATAAGCGTCTTTTACTACATGCCTCGGAAGAATAGCGAAGGGGCCGAGCGTCATCGACAAGCGAAAGACAAGATCGTTGATGTATTTACTGGGAAAAACGTCAGCAGCGGACGGACACCTGGAGGGCGGACGGAGAGGCTAGTGAGCAATCTGATTTTTTTTTATTGAAATTTTTTTAAACACCAAATGTAATCCGCCATAGAAAACTGCTTTTGGACTACCGCCTTCAAAAAAGCAGGTACAGCGGCATCCACGTATTCGCGAATCTCGTAAAAACTCTTGAATCTGTTCTCGAACTTAAAGAAAATAATTTAAATTTTTGAAAAGAAATTGCTAAAAAATTTTACTGAAACGTCGGAAAGTTCCTCTGGATCATTTCTAAAAGATTATTAATCTTTTTAATTTAAAAAAGATTTAATGACTAAAAACTGTAGCGATGCTTTGCTGGAGTCTTCTTCTCTGCGTCGTATATACAAGCACAAACCGGGAAGAATCAGCGGGAGACACCGCAAACTTGTAGACGTAACTGCAATGATTTGTGAGTTTTGCTCAAAATCTATTGCATTACTGTTATAAGAATTAAATTCTACTTGCCAGTAATCGCTCTTGTAGAGAAATATATAAACGTAAATTTATATTTCTTGCCTAATACAAACGTAAAAATTTTATATTGTTTTCAAATACTTTGACTTTTAATTAATTTTCAGAAAAAATTAATTTAATTTTAAAGCTTTGAACAAAAAACGGTTATTCACGTGGCTCCGCAGGCATTGTTGATCTTCAATTGGATCATACGCTTGACTGCCGGCGAAATGGAAACTGCGCATAGCTTTTCAATGGATGCAAAAATCTAATAAAGATTAATTATTATTCGTCTCTGAAGAATAAAAAATTAATGATTTTACATCGTCGCTGGCGGGCTCGCCGGCAGGTTCGATTTTTTTAGCAAACGTTAACGAACAATCCGCAAATTCTTGAAGAGCCGCAAAAAGTTCAAGAAGAAGTTCGGAAAACGAAAGACTTTTCGGAAACACATCGCTTTGCAAAATTTAAGTTTTAGTCAAAAATGGATTTTTTTAAAAAAATATATCAATTTCTTTGATTAAAAAAAAATTGAGATCTTCAATGTTTGAATTAAAATTTTCAGATAAGCATTTAATTTATGTAACTACTCTGTTAACTGAAATGGTTTGGCTTGAAAATTAAACGGTTTGATCTATAAATCAGAATAATAAATTAATACAATTAAAAGCAAATTATATATATATAAAACTTTTTCTTCCCATTCGCGAGCATCTAGAATCACTAGAAGATGACTGTAGTCTTTCATTAATATATTTCCTATTCTTATATAAAATTAAATCGATTTTATTTAAAAATTCGGATTTTTTTTAAATAAAAATAAATTTTTTATTGCAGTAGGAAGTCTTTTTAAATACTAAATTTAATTTTTTTTAATTGATAAATAAATTTATACAAAGCACGAAATTCAAGGATCAGAAGGTAATCATAACGCTCTTTCGCATTTTCGTAGATGCCTTGGAGACGATGCACGCTATACTGGTAGGCTTGCATCCCCTTGAAAAAGTTAAAGGAGAGCATTTTTAATTCAAAGCAAAAGAAATATTAGTAGTAAAAAAAATCTTAAAAAAAATTAAGCGCGATTTATAATTATAAGAAAAAATCTGTTGCAATACTAAAATTTTTGAAAGTCAATAACAATATAATTGTTTTAATTAAATTGTTTTTTTTTAATTTTAATTATTCAAATTCGTTACTGTACTGAAGGCTTCAAGATTATTCTTCAGCTCAAGCAGCTGATCTTTATCAGTACACTTTTCCATTTCTTGCTGTAATGAAGAACTGGCTTTGGATGTTTAGATAAATTAAATTTTTTGCTGCAGAAAGAAAAATACCGAGTCTATCTAAAGCAGAATTCCATAAGTCATCGACAAAAACTTTAGTTATAAATTTTTCAGTCGTGGTTTGCACGCTGTCCAGCACAATAAAGAATCCCATAATCTTGTAATGTTTTTATATTTTTATATAAGAAATTAAAGAGAATTGTAATAAATCATTTATTTTGTTTAAATTTCTATATAAGCAATTAAAAATAGTTGTTACAATTAATAAGGATTACAAATTTAAATAAGAAATTAGAGATTTGTTATAAGTAATTTATTTTGTTTATATTTTTATTTAAGAAATTAGAGAGGTGTAAATAAACTTAAAATAGTAGAAATTTTTAAACAAAAAATAAATTAACTATTATATAGTGAAAGGTAAAATGATTTGGAGATTATGCATACTAATTTTTATAAATAATATGCTTAGATATCTGTTTATAGTATACTTTTTTGTTTAATAACGACAAAGGTAATATTTTAAAGGAAAAATTTTTTAAAATTATATAAGACGTAATTAATTTCTCTAAAATGAATTTGAATAGCTTTAATAATAATTACTTAAACAAATATATTAACTTTAGTGAAAATAAATAACAAAAGTACTCCGAAGAAAAAAGTGCAAAACTTTTTTAAATTATATAATTAGAAAAAAATTTAATTTTAAAATCCAAACCAACTTTTATAATAGATTTAGTTTTAAAAAAAAATAAATATTGGCTTATATGAGTGGCAAAAAATTGTTAAACAGATTTCTTAAGGCACCCTAGCAAGCAAAGCACGACATCTTTCTAGCGGAGTCAGCTCAGAGATGCCAGGATTGTTCAAGATGATTACGATCTACGCTTCAGCCAAAAAAAAAATAATATAAATCGAATAAATTTTTATATTTAGTAAATCACTTGTTTCTTTATGGCGTCCTTATAAAATAATTGGACATCCGAACTAATCCGGAACACTTCAAACACGCGCAAGCAGCGGTAAAGCGGAGTGCAGTCTACGAGCTTCCCAATGTCAGGGACATCTATTTAGTTTTATAATTATAGATTCCTTTTTTATATATAACTTTAAGTTTTAATTAAAATTAATCTTTTTTTTAAAAAGAGATCAGGCAGGTTAAGGCAACGTGTTGAATGGCGAGGAGAAAAAGAAGTACACCTGAAAATCCTAAAAAGCTGTTGGATGATTGATTTTCTTGGCGTAACTATAATAAGGAGAAGTAGATTAAGTAATATAAAAAAAAAAATTCGAGATGCGCAAAATTGGTATCAACCCGAAAAAAATGATTGATTATAGTATTTCCAATTTCACTGGCTCTGGATACCACAATATCCTCCATCCAATCTTGAAGATCAGAAATTACCGCACTCTTAGAAATTTACTATTTAAATTGATTCTAAATTTTTAATGGTAAAAAAAAATGTCACCCTCACAGATTCTCGAATTGTGGGGATACTATCTTGTACGAGCTCGTGCAGGCTAAAACCTAATTTATTGTTCCACTGCAGTGACATTTGTACTATTAACTTTTAAAAGAACCTTGAATTTTTGGGAGAAACGCTTCCATTTGTCCTAAATTTGTTAATAAAAATATTAATTTATTATAAAATTTCGTAAAAAAAATTACTTAAAGCCTTTAAAGCCTGGTAGTATCGCTTAGAATTAAGATGCTGAAGCACTTTTCCATAAGTCTATATCAAAACGTAATATGAAGGCCCTGAAACACAACAGGCTTGTATTTTGCTTCAAAAATTTACTTAAGACAGAGGCGGTACTAACTCAAAAAGATACTAATCTACTTTTCCTCAATTTTAAAATTATAATTCTTACATTGATATCGAACGTTAATAATCATAGTAGTAAAAAGAGGGTTCCATTTGGAAATAAAAATCTCTTTTCATAAATTTATATAAATAGCCTTCAAGACGGGTAAGCAGTTATCTAAAGCCTCCGCAGAAAGTGCGATATTTTTCAAAACTTCTCTATTTTGCAATAGATTTGTAGAAAGAGTCAGTTGTTTGAATCCTGTTTCCTGATAACCGGTTTATGCGAAAAAAAAAAAGATAAGAATTTACGAAATCTAAGAGTAAAAGAAAGATATCACCTGTAGCTTACTATTAACGCCCTTTAAGTCTAAACGTAGTTGAGAAATCTCTTGTTTTATTTGAGTTATTTCGTTTAATGACGCAAGAAAATCTAAAGAAAACTTCAAAACTAATAAAAGAAAGTGTTTTTTTTAAAAAATATACCTTGATAATGCAATTTGCATAATCTTTCGATTTCTACCTCAGAGCTTTTTATTAATTTATTTAAAGATTCGCGGAAGTTACTTAGTTGATTTTTTTCAAGTACCGCCCTGTTCAAAAAAATTTCAAACTTCAGATTAAAAATTTTCTATTGATAAAGTTGCAACCTGAGAACGGTAGTAATTTGAGTATCACTGGAAATTAAATTAGATAAGTGAGCAGCGGCGGACTCTTCCATCTCGTCTTTATAGTAAACTTAGGTGTTTTTTTCATTTACTAAATTACCATTATTTGGTTCTTCTAAGAATTTAAATTTGTTGATGGAAACAAAAATCTCTGTTATAACAATTCCAGGAGGCAATCTTATTAGCCTTCTTAAGCTCAAACAACTTAGGCTTTGCTGCAGCAGACCCCCCTCTAACTCGTCAGTCTTACCTCGTAATTTAGATAAGGGGACTGTAGTAAAGTGAAAAGCTTGCGCTTAGATACCCTAGGGTTAGCATATAAGTAGTACGATGTTTGTCTTATTATTTAAAGCTAACACTCTCTAAGACTAAAGTACATAAGGTTCTAAATGAACATCTATTTATTAAAGTTGCTCCTTTAAGCTAATAGTTGTGAATGAAAGCTGAGGAGGTTGATATTAAGTTACAAAAATAAGAATAAAACAAACTTTATGTTGAAGTTGAATGTTATAAGTGTTTTTCAAGCATCAAATCGGACGCTAGATATATCTTGCTAATAATTAGACAAGACAGGAACCAAGTAAAACCTTTGTTTACACCTGTTACTAACAGTCCTTATGTTAGAACTAAAGTCTAGGTTTCTTTTAGAAAAGGAGCTTAAAGACCAAAATAGAGTAAAAAAAGAATACCGGGAAACAGGATTGAAAGCGTGGTCCTAATCGCTAGTTAGGGTTATTTTAACGCTTAGAGCTCTAAGGCTGTTTTTTTCAGGGTCCTCAATGAATAATAAGTTCAGTATCCTAGACGCAACGAGGACACTTTTGCATATATGGGTTAAAACTAATCCGTTTTGTGAAAATTGATTTTAAAAAGATGAAATTACCTTTGTGACGGTTTTACAGTTAACGAATTTTAGTTTTGAAAAATGCATATAGAAACATATAATACCTTCGCAAAGGTTTTACACTCTGCAACGAGTGTGAATTATAAACTCTACAAGTCAGTAGTATTCAAGTATGCGATAATAAAAACTTTTATTTAGAATAAATGGCCATAGTGAATGCTTATAACTTTGGGTTTGCCGCTGTTTTACTATGAAAGGTTTCTAAGCCTATTTTTCTTTTAAAATCTTAAGTACTTTTATTTGGCTAAGTTCAATATTTTATGCAATATAATAAAAACAAAGAGAGAGTTATTAAGGTTTTTTATTCATTAAGTGTAATATCACTCTGATTGTAGCTGCTTTAGTTAAGCTGGCATACTTAACCCGACTGTGAATGGAGCACAGCAAGGCGTTGTTGTATAGTACTGAGAAGAGCTTATGTTTCGGAATTTAATATTCTCTTTATTGCTGAAATATCATGATTATAAACTTCATGACCCTTGGGAGGCCCCGGGCACAACCTTCCCCTTTTCGATAGGGTTCAAACTGACTATCTGGCGAAAGGGAAGGATAGGCTTTTTTATGGTTATTAGCTATATTTCTATCCTAAAAAATTAGAAATAACACACTTTCTTATTTTTATTAAGCATCAAAAGCAATCTTAAAAAAGAAATTTTCATATTCAGAAAACTGCTGTAGTTCAAAGAAAACTTAACAGTTCAGCTTAATAAATAATTAGTAGAAGCAAAATAGTTCATATAAGTGGTTAATAATTTGCTACCTAATATCACTTAAACTTTTAACTAACCATAATAACCAAGAGACTAATAACGTATATTATATAAGACGTGGTATAGCGCATAAGTTTTTATTACGTTCATTGCATTGGGACTGTATTAAGTAGTATATGACTGTGGCAACATCCAAATTCTTATCTAATTAAGCTAATATTTCCAACAATGTATGACCATTGGATATTTACGCACTTTCATGTTTTTTTAATTCAAACTTTTGACCGGCTCTTCTAATTTTAAAAAAAAGCTTAAAGCTTAAGAGGAGTTACTTTGCACATTTACGTATATATAATTACTATTTACTTTCACTTTTAATAACCTTGCACGGAAGAGTCTTAAGCTACGGATATACTCGCTTTCAATACACCTTAGTTATTATATAAAACATTCGTCTTAAAAGATGATTAGAAGCTTAGAGCTTACTTTTTTAAAAGCCTATCCCTTTGTAAAATGTGTGCAATGCTAAATTTTTAGTCGTTTTGCCAAATATGATATAGTGAGGTCAATTAGATTTCAAATGCATCTCTATAAATTACAAATTTATAAAATAATGTCAATGTCTTGTGCTTTTTAGGATGCGGAAGGCCGGCGGTGACTTGCTCCTACTTCCCGGTAAACAATGTAAAACTTGGGTAGAAGAAATCCTTAGGATAACAAGAACCCTAAGATAGAAACAAAATGTTTAAGGATAGGCAAAAGTATTTTTTGCTATAGTCTAATATTTTTGTAAATGCTTTCCCCACTTTAGTGAAATTCTATTTTTTTTAAGTGAAAGATTTAGCACGGTGGAATAAAGTTTTTAAAATTAAAACTCAAGGTTCGGTAAAGAGTTAAAACAAGGTTATAACCTTGTCATACACATTTTTTGTAATAATTTATATCAAGCCACTATTGCCTTTTATTTGCCATAGTTGTTCATAAACACTACGACAATGCTTATTTGTCAAAACATAATTTCTTCGTGGTGCGTGCATCGTAGGACAGCTACAATGCAATTGCTTAGGAAATAAATAAAAAATATTTCGCGGAGATGAAGATAAGCAATTTGGACGGAGGAAGTGCTAAAAGATCTTCAGCTTCTAACTTCCTTTCTGTGACTTTTCATTTTCAGCACAAAGGTAGTGATATACACGATCCTCAACCCTAACAGCGTTATTAAAGTGCCAGTCTTCCTTTTCTTCATTCCAGAATCGTTCAAACTTTTCCCCACATACTTCACATATTGAGCCTTCTGAAGCAGGGCAGCTAACCTTTATAATTGAATAACATTTTCAAAATATCGCTATAGGTTAAGAATTCGTAAAAAGGCACCTGGACAATAATTTCTTTTTTAGTACTAGAATCTTCGAAAAATGTGTTAGCGGACTCAATTTCCTTGCGACTAGTAACCTCAGTAAAAGCTATCCAGTTCTTAGTAAAATAAGGGGTAAGTAGCTTTTTCGGCCTAAAATAATTACGGCAAGAGTACTTCCTCTGACAAGAACCATCGCCTTGAGGAGACCTTCAAGTGTTTCTCTCTCTCGGCTTTGTTTACACGAAAATGCCAGTCCATATGTTCAGTAAGCCTATGGCTGGATCCTTCTTTAAACCTTAATCCACAACTAGAACACTGTTTAGAAAAGTCATCATACAAACTTTGTATGGCAGATTCATAGCGCCTATTAAAAAGCACAATATATATATAACAGTGTGCCTAAGCAAACAAGAATACTGTACTTTGTCAAGGTTCGGGGGTTACAAAGATTTATTAAATCTATAGCTTCACCTACTTTTAACATTTGCTGGTGGGAGTAATAGATGGGCGTCTTTATCACAGAGATAAAGTTTGGTCCTGTATTATAAGAAAACAATTGGGTGTTAGCTTACTCATATATAAAGCAGCTGTTTTAGATGGTATCTGGAACAGAATTAATATGGTAATGCGGTTAACCTGAAAGGGTGTTATCGGGTAGTGAGTCGATATAAGGGGTGAATCCTGATACCGAGCCAGTGGGGACTGCTGCTGAACCCTGAACAAGAGATCCGAAGGTGTGTGGAAAGGGAAGTTGAGGGGGCTGCGGGGGGATCAAAAGAGGTGGATAAGCAGCCGAGTCTGCACCGGTAAGAGTCGCAAGCTGGCCGGGCGGTATATTCAAGGGAAAGTTAGCATCGCCCGTGGACTCATACAAATTGTCGAGGATTCGGTACAGCGAATGCGGTTGCAAACCGAAAGGTTCTTGTAGAGAAGCAGCCTCGGCCTCTACATGAGACAAAAATGGCTGCTGACCCATATTCAAAAACTGGCGGGCGGGTGGTGCCTCCTGTCTCTCAAACCGCTCAATTAACGGGCGGCCACGATCATCCAGCGGCGCCATAGACGGGTGCGGAGAAAATTGAACATCCTGGGACAGTCGGGGCTGTTTTGCAACCGCCTCATCAACAAAAAGGGAGGCGCGAAGGCCGTCATTACTGCTAGATAGTGTATAGTCGGAGTGCAAATTCTCTGTACGGTGGGTCGCAGTGGTAATCTTGTCCAACTCTTGTAGCAGTACTTGGCGCTCAGCAGGGCCTAAACTACCCTGCCGTAACTGTTCTTGAATCTTAAAGTTTCATATAAAATTATAAAATTACTTGGGCTATTTTTCTTAAAGCATAGATATATAAGAATGGAGGGGAGAGAATTGTAGCCAACAAAGTATAGAAAAAGGAAGGGTGTACTAATAAAATTAATTGTATTTTTTTTAAAACTAAATAAAACTGCAGTGAAAGGGGGTAAGATAGGCATGCCACTTGTCTTGGAGCACAAGAAAAGTACAATGCTCCGAAAAATTATTTACGAATGGACAATCAGGAAAGTTCTAATCTTTCCTATAACAAGCGTAACAATTGAATTTAATGGAGCCTGACAAACCGCAAAGCTCAAGACTAATACTAAAATAACGAGGAAACACTTGATTGATATAAATAAAGCACACAAAAGAATTTTAACCATTTTAGTAAGTTCTTCAGTTTCTCTTTTTAAAATATTTTTTTCATATTCAATCTTTTTATCCGCTGGGTCAAAATTTTCTTCAGATGGAGTCACGCCAAAAACTCTATGACTACGCTTATAGCCGACTTTATCTTTGTCGGCAAGGAGCGCTCCTTCCAGCTCCAGCTGCTTCGAGCGGGATCCCGAAAAAATGTCGAGTATCACGCTCCTTTTTAGAGAGCCGGCTAGGAGAAATTTTATGTGCTTGTCGCGTGGATGGAGGCCCAAGGGGCCTGCTGAGCCTGTCAAAATTTCGGGTGGAAGATTTCTGAATGAGCAAAGAGAAGAGTAGATCAAAAGTTAAAAAAATAACGTGAAAATAAAAACCCCAAAGTCGGGGTTTATATAAATGCTGCTTTTCGAGGAGGGAAGGCCATTTTTAGCAGTGTGTGGCCTTAAAACAGCATCAAGGCGATTGAGAATGTCAGCCGAGAAAATCCCGTTCCAGGTTTGCCGAACCTGTGATTAGATAAAAAATAGTTTATAAAGTGTAGCTGGTAGAAATAAAAATAGTTTAAATTAATTTAAAAAAAGATTTATTAAATTAATATAAGCAGAAGCAAATACTATTAATAGTAATACAGCGCTTATCAACGGTGTAAAAATGAAATTATAATAGCCATCAAACGTACTCTTCAAAAATAAATAAACAAAGAAAAAAGCAAATCTCTTCGAAATCAAGTAAACTTGCAAGAAAAGTAGAATTTAAAATAAGCTCAAAAGCAGATAAGTAATTGTTACAACACACTATAAATCCACGACAAATATAAAGGAAAGTTACTACATAAAAACCTGACTAACAAATGGATAAGTATTAACCTTTAGAATTAATAATTTGGTGCGCTCGTCTACGCAACGGTAAGCTTCGCCCATAACAGAAACTATTTCAGGTTCAAAAAGTTTACGATAGTGAGGCGCATTCTTAATCACGGAATCAATGAGATATATAGAAGGCAGTTTTAGATCTCTGTCTACCTAAAAATTAATAAGTATCTTCTCTAAGAACAATAAAAATATATAAAATAAATACTAACTTTCCTAATACGCTTGACAATGCACTCAACGTAGACAGTTGCATACCGGGAGTTCTCGTCGCATAACATAGACAGAGCCCCTAAAATAAGACACATGCTATCAATCTTAAAAATAATATATTATATAAAACTTTCCCTATTGATAAACTTTAGAAAAAGAAATTAAAAAAAAGGACTGATAGCTTGAATTATACAACCAGGCACAAGGAATACCTATAATGTGTTGTGAAGGCGTGACAAGCTCTTCTAAAGCATAATTAAAATCTTTTCTGGCCTGTTCGAAATCTTCACTAACACTTTTATTAAACATCAGTATTTAAACTTGATTAGTTTTGTTTAATTTAAACTTCCGTCAAAAATAGATGGCAGGGATGCTTCGAGGATTAATTTTTTAAACTTAATTATTAAACTCTTTCTTGAAGCTAAAAGAGTGCTATTGTAAAAATTTAAAGCAATAAACAACAAAATGACCTACAGAATAATTAATGTTATAATTCAATTTTTAAACCCATATATATATGCTCACTTATAAGCAGAAATGTATTGCTCACATATATATATAGGCTGACTTATTTAAAATACTACTAAAGATAAGGTTAACTATAAAAAATTTACAATATTTTTATTAATTTAATTTCTAAAGCAACAGCGGTGGCCTCCCAAGTAAATAATTTCTTGCAGACCTTTAAAAAAATAAAAAATAAAAATAATTTTTTATTGATAAATAATAATAATGAAGACTGCCCACCGGGGCGAAAAGTCGGCCCTTTCTCCACGCTCCACAAAGTTGACTTTTTAAGGCGTGCTTCTTAGAGTTTCTAAAAATGCTTACCATTTTGGACACGTCATAACCCTATTTTTACATCGCATGCTTTTAACTAAAAGTCTCCGCCATCCTCGTTATTAGTATTAAAAGTTCTTACGCTATAGTTTAACATTGACTTCGCTTTCGCTTTATTTACTAACTGCCGTACTATTTAATCATAATCTTCGTCAAAAACCTAATTGTGACTTAAAAATATCCGATTAATTTTTAAAAAAAAAACTAGAGATAAGTTGATGAAGAATAAGCGAACTAGTGGGTAAGTTTGAACTATTAATAGAAAAATAAAGCAATTTGCACCTAATTTTATTATTTTCGTTTTTATTATATGGAAAAAGTAAGCATTATAAAGGAAGAGTGTATCTAACTACTTATAATACTTTTGTGTAAACAATGTTTATATAGATTCATTTGATCTATTAGACAAAAAAGCCTACATTTTCTGTAAAAAATAGCTTCTAAGATGATCTATATCGTTATTATATTGCATTTAACAGTTAATTTACTTAAATTAATATTTAAATATTAAAATAATTGCTTAAAAAAAAAACTAAAAATTATAACTTAAAAATTTACTTTTCTAGAGTAGGCATTAGTTGAGAATGATCATATATTCATCTATAAATTTAGTTAACCACTTTCTTAGATGAAAATTTTCCATGTTTTACACGTTGGTATGCTTATAACCGGCGAGTCTAAATCAATTTATACATTTACGAGGATGTCTTCAATACAACTTCGACCTAATAATATTGCTTGACAATTATTAGTTTTGTACCCATCGATTACCTTAGATTTACTAATGTGGAACTTTTCTGGTTCAGCACAAATCTAACATCAATTTATATGGAGATTAAAGGTTGCTGTGCATCACGTTTGTTAATGTTCTTGAAGGGCCATTTTACTTAAATTTTTTTAATTCAGTTCACCGCATCTTAGAGCTTGATCAATTTAGTCTTTAAAAAACTAAAAAATTCAACGGAAAAAAAGAGAATATAACGCTGCTTTTTGTGAAATGACCACCTCCTGAATCAATTTTAACTCGAGATTTTACATTTAGTGAGGTTACCAGTGGAAGGACGTAACAAAATTTACTCTTCAAAAAAAAAGTCAGTAATTCTTGCATTTTCCAGGGAAATAAACGGGTAGGTCCGACGAATATTGTTAAAAAACCTTCGTGTTAATTTAAGTAATTTTTAAGAGCTATAACTTTGGTTTGCTTTCGATTTAAATAGTCTATTAATTTAGGGTCGAAAGTTCATTTCTTTAAGTTTCCAGTAAATTTAGGGATTATGTTTTTGGGGCTAAGGTGACCTAAAAGACTTAGGATCTTATTCTAATTTAGTAACAGAACAGTGTATTGCTTCGAAGTGTAAACTTAATATAAAGATAACGGGCTAGAAATTGAAACAGTGGGCCCCAGTTAACAATCCATCCTAAAAGACAACAAGCAAGCATATTCTAGCTTTTAAATTCTGACTCGTATCCTTGGAATAAAATACAAATTTATTAAAGCATATGCCAAGTAGATAATTTTAACTTCTTCAGGCCAGAAATGGTTATACGTAATTTATTATGCTTGTTGTGAGCACAAAGATAACGGTAGAGTTTTAACTTGTCTTGACAAGATAATTAAACTCCACATTCGTATTTTCAGTATTTTAAGGTAAATAATGAAGGTTTTACCTAAGAGAATATTTAATAAATTATGAGCTAATTACTACACTACGTACGACGCTTTTCCCTTCATTCCCTGCCGTCTCCTCAGGAGGCAAGATCTAAAGGTTGTCATATGTCCTATTGAGAAACACGAGCCTATACACCGGATCTCGGAGACCTGTTCTAATATGTTCCTTATTAATATTTTTCAATCGGCAATAAAGGATGTTAAAATTAGAGCTTTTTATCATAAAAAGCATATCAAACGTTTATGATAAACGGTATTAAAACTTTTCAATATTATCAGGATTTTTGTTTGTAGAAAAGTTGCACACGTAACCACCAGACCAGAAAAATGCGAGTTGGCACCAACGGAAATCGAAACGCGACCTTGAGGTTGCGTGGTAATGCTCTAACCCCTAAGCTACGGTGACAGCTCACACACATCTCCGGTCGTTAAATTACGTATATATCTTTTGTTAAATATAATAATACTAATGCAAGAGCTGTGATGCATTTCAAATATAAAAAAACTTTTAAATTTTTGGTGATTTTTTGTATTCAAGTGTGTTGAACAAATATCGAATTTAAGCTTTACGGGTGTTCACCCACATTGAAAGATGTGAGACAGTAAATTACTTAGGGAGGAGACGGACATACAAATTTCTTACATTTGATGCAAAAATATTTTGTTTTGGAGTTATTTATGCAGAAAAAACATCTTTTACTTGCTTCAGGTCGTATTTCTTAATAATATCTGCCACCTTGATTACCAGCTATCTCCTATCGTCTGTCTCTCATAGAACGTGGCACGTTTGTTTCCGTGGGGGTTCGGGGTTACAGCTTGATTGAGAACAATATAATAACTTAAATTTCTGTGATATTAAAATTTTATTAATTAATTTTTATTAACTTAAAAGCAAAAGTTAAACACTTCACAGAAGAAAGCGGTAAGGTATTTCGGGGCGGCGGATCTCACAGACTTTTTAATTAATAACTTTTTAGCTGTTTGACGTCATGCTCTGCCACTTGCACCACAGATTTTTTTGAAGCAGACTTTAAGAAGGTAATGAGCTCCTTCCCTCAAAAAAAATTCTAAGAAAAATAGCAACCATATTTTCACTCGTAGGGTCTCACAGACTTGGCGTCTCGACTGGAGGTTACGATATATTAAGTGACTTCTTGCCTTTCATTAGATCAGTTTTCTCTTAGGATAGAGGGGTTTCGTATTTATTGTGTGAAAATTTCCTTAGTTATGGAGTCATAAGGTTATAAATTACATGGTCTACTCGGTTCATTTATAACTGAGGGTTTAAGTATTAATTAGAAATGTGGTCTTGAGTTTTCTTACTAAGATTTATCCTGTAAGCCTCGATTAGTTATAAGGGTTACTTAGGAGTTTATTAGAAGACTCTTTCCTAGGACCGGGCTAAAAAAAAATTTCAGATGATTGCTGAACACCAGTTTTTTAGCTGAAGAAGGCTGCGTTTGTATGGTCTCTAATTGTGATTGCTTAAATCCCTCTTTTTTAGTGCTTGACATAAGGTTGCGGAAGACAGTCTTACTAATTCTTTTAATTATAGATGGTAACGTTAATCTTAACGTATTTTTTAATAATGTTGGTAGTCATGTTGTGAATCTAAATTGTCCATAATTAGGTGCGTGCCTGGGGAAATGACTATAGCTAGGAATTTCTAACTTTATATGATAAAAGCTATGTATATCTCAGCTAAATGCATGGATATGTTTTTGATTGTGCTGTGCTTTCTTCGAAGACGAATATATTTTTACTAACACTAAGACCTTTCTTAATAAAGCTGATCTGGAATAGTGCTACCATATAAAACCAAATCTAAGTCTATCAATGCATAGGAAGACAGCACTTTATATATTTAGCCAAGTTACCTTAGCTGAATACTCTACTTTCATAGATAGAGTCATACAACTTAAGTACAGCCGTATAAAACAGCACTACTACAAGAGTACCAGTTTACTACTGGCCCTTTGCCGCTAAGATAAAGCGGCGGGGCATATAGTATACTCGCTTAGATTAACCTTTTCACTAATGACACTTAAGTCAAGATTACCTGGTACATCCCCCGCTTTCGTACTCAAATAGCTATGGCAAAATGTAGTACTAATAACCTCGCTCAGCCCAAGCTAATATACCTCTTATCAAAATAGATACAAATAAGAATGATACAAGGAAGGCCCCTGCCAAGCTCTAACGGCTCAATAGAGAAAGCACAAAAATCAAGGTCAGATGCAATTCGACTACTATATCAACAGAATTAAGATACAAACATCTACGAAGGACTTCATCAATTACAGCTCTATCACTTAAATTAAAATAAAAACCTTCGTGAAACTGTAACCAGAAATCCAATCAGTATAGATAATGGAAAAAATTACCATTATAGAGCAGGTCTTCCGGCCCTGGCGCCCATTCCCGAGTTGCCACTTTAAAGCTCTCCCAGGTGCACCATCGCCTTACAATTAAGTTAAGTAAAGCACGATTATATTTGCGAGCCTCGCTTGTAGTTATGACAAGCCAAAAGAGAACTCAAGCTTACTTTTTAATATATTCAGCTCGAGTTAAAGGAAGTCATGGATATAGAATATTATTAACTAGCAGAGACTGGAACAATCAACTCATGTATGGTCTTATAGCGTGATGGATCAGCACCAAAGTAGGCATATAGTTACAGTGGCCCTCCCTGCAGTTCGCCAGAAACTACCTCAGCATAGTTATACTGAATTTTAACTCTACCTCCAATGTTTTTTAGAATTTTTACGGTAGCGCCTGGCGCAAAGAGCAACCAATACTT